TGCTGAACAGGTCCAGTTTCTCTAGTCTCTCCTCGTACGGCTTGGTCTGCAGGCCCTTAACCATACGAGTGGCCCTTCATTCGCAACCCTTTTGTATATTCTTGTGACCCACTTTTGGGTTGTGACCCATGGGTTGAGAAAGGCTGGGCTAGAGGGTCTTGTCCCTCCACTCAGGGTCAGACTGATGCTGCGATGGGGTCAGGAAGGAATTTTACCCCCTGGTCAAACTGGTACGGACTGGGGAGGTTTAACCTTCCTCTATAGTGGGGGCATGGCCTCTGCCTGGGATCTCTCGAGTGTATATTAACTACCTTTTATAGAAACAGGCCATGGTCCCCTGCTTTCCCTGCGGCAGGTTGGGTCAGGGTTGACGGTCGTCTTACGTAGAGTTGAGATGATGGGTTTGTCTGGGGTGGTTTGGGCAGAGCTGATGCTGCCTCAGGCAGGGGGTTGGACCACACGTGGCCTCTGGAGCTGCCTCCCAGCCCCACTGCTCTGGGATTCAGTGATTCTCTTCATGGCCTGGCTATATTGCGATCAGTCGCTGCCATGGCTCTACTGGGCGAGATCCGGGGTAGGCTGAAGCCGAGAGGATCTGCCAGTGTGTCTTGGGCCAGCCGTGGAGGCCGGGGGGTGTCTCTGGCTGGAGGCGCCCCCAGAGCTCAGGCTGTTCTCCCCGCAGGTGGATGAAGGTGGGAAGAGCCTCCTCGTCGACTCCTGGTCCACTTTCCTCAAGGCGAGGCTGGTCTGCGGCCACCCTGCTGACCCCCAGCGCTTCCACCGGCTGCGCGACGCCTTCGTGCTCAGCGAGGGGCAGCAGGGCGGGGGGATGTTGTACGGCATCTTCTCCAGTGCCTGGTGAGCAGGGGGCATGTGGATCAGGGGTGCAGCCAGGGCATGTGGCCTTGGCGGGGGGGGAATGAAGGGGAAAGTCTGCTCCAGCTCTCTGCACTCTGCTTCTCCCACCCCAGCTGCCCCTGAGGCCTGGTGCTTTCATGACACCAATGGCAGATGAGAACCAAGGCACCTTTTCCTCTGGGGCGCCTTCACCTGCAGTGAAGGGGAAGGGAGGAGAGGACTGGGTGTGGGGCTGGGAGGCCAACACCCAAACTCACAGGCAGAGAGAACTGAAGACAGTGGGTTCAGCCCGAGTCAGTCATTCAGGGACAGTGAGGGGGGGCTTACCCCCACCTGAGCCCCCCTCCCTGCTCCGAAGCCAGCTGGGGTCTGCAGAGAGAGCAGGTCCCTTCTGTTTGGTGTCATGAGGTTGCTTTGTCTCAACCCCGCTCCTTGCCTACACACCCAGCACCAGCCACCTCTGCCCCTCACTGAGTGGACCAGGGAGACTCAGTCCCACCAGGGCTGCACCCAGGGGCCGGGAACGCTCATGGCTCCCCCTCAAAGGAGCTCCTGTTTTCTCCCTGCAGGGGCACGACTGCCATCTGCACTTACTCCATGGACAGGGTGAACCAAATCTTCCGGACCTCCAAGCTCAAGGGGTACAGCAGTGTCATGCCAGCACACAGGCCCGGCACGGTAAGCACTGTCCCTCAAGGTCCCCGCGGCATGGCCAGCCCAGCACAGCTCCCGTGAGTAGGGAAGGGCCCTCCGTGGTTGGCAGCGAGGAGAGGGCACGGTAGGGTGTGCAAAGAGCTGCCAGCAACCTAGATGGTGGCATCAAGAGGTCTCCATCAGTGTCACACATTTTTAAAGCACAAATATCTCGCTCTTTGTTCCACTCAGCTTCGGTTTCTGTGTGATCAGACCTGACTTCTCCCCTCCTTTTCCCTTCTGGGGAAAGGTATTTTTAAAATTGAAGCCAATTTTTCCAGGAGAGAATCCTGTTTGGGAGGGGAAAAACGCAAAACACTTCATTCTGAAATGGACAAAATGAAGCATTTCCAAGTTTTATGCCCCAAATCAAGGCATTTGGTTTAAAAAATGGAACATATCCAACTGCTCAGTTATTTCTCCCCATTTGCTGGTCAGCTAAAACCACTGAAGAGATTTCTTTGAGAAAAGTTTTCGTCCCTCTGGAAATCCTCTTGTTGGAGTCTAGAGGCAGCTGTCTGGTTGTGGTGGAAGAGGCTGATAATTCCAGGCTTTGGGCTTTTGCTTGTTGCATGTTAGGGCCATGAAAGGATTTTTTTCCCCCTCATCATGGGCAACCAGTGCCTCCTGAGTCAGAGGGGGCACTTGCCCCCATAGTGGCCAGTCAGCAACTGGAGGGGAGGGGGCCCTGCGACTGATCCTGCCGACCCACAAGTGGCAGCAGTGTGCCACTGGCACTTCCGGATGAGCGCAATCTGCCATGGGGGGACTATGGGTATTGCTTCTCCTGGCGCCCCCACTCACCGGCCTGCACTCGCAGGGGGGCACCAGCACTCTCGCCTACCCCCCCTGCCTGGGAACACTGGCTGTCAGGAGGTGCACCAGTGCTCTCAGGGGGTGCATGTGCACCCCTACGCATTGCCACTGCCCCTCATAAATGTTCCTGGCTTCTGGAGTTTCTTTTCTACCTTCCTGTGAGGCGCTGTGAGGTTCAACAAGGACAAATGTAAAGTCCTGCACTCAGGACGGAGCAATCTCATGCACCGGTACTGGCTGGGGACCCACTGGCTAAGCAGCAGCTCTGCAGAAAAAGACCTGGGGGTTACAGTGGACAAGCTGGATAGGAGCCAGCAGTGTGCCCGTGTTGCCAAGAACGCTAAAGGCATCCTGGGCTGCGTTGGTAAGAGAGTTGCCAGCAGATCGAGGGCAGTGATTCTTCCTTCTATTCAGCACTGGGGAGGCCACATCTGGAGTCCTGTGGCCAGTTTTGGGCCCCCCACCACAGAAAGGATGCGGACATAGACTTGTGAGGAGAGGCTGAGGGAACTGGGCTTATTTAGTCTGGAGAAGAGAAGACTGAGGGGGGATTGAACAGCAGCTTTCAACTCGTTTCAGGGGGTTGCAAAGAGGATGGAGCTGGGCTGTTCTCAGCGGTGGCAGATGACAGAACAAGGAGCAATGGTTCTCTAGTTGCAACAAGGGAAGTTTAGGTTAGATATTAGGAAAAAAGTTTCTCATGAGGAGGGTAGTAAAACACTGGAAAAGGCTACTCAGAGAGGTTGTGGAGTCTCCATCCTTGGAGGTGTTTAAGACCCAGCTTGACAAAGCCTTGGCTGGGATGATCTAGTTGGGAATGGTCCTGCTTTGAGCAGGAGGTTGGACTAGATCTGACCTCCTGAGGTCCCTTTCAACATGAATTTTCTACGATGCTATGATTCTAGTAGGATGTTGGCCACAGCTAAGACTGGGTTGTGACTGCGGCATCCTGCTGTTCCTCCTGCCTGAACTTAGAAACCCCAGTCGTTCCTGGCTTGGAGGGTCTTGCCTTTCCATTCAGGGCTCAAACTAGATGCTAGACATGGAGTAGGAAGCAATTTTTCTCTCGGGTCAGACCAGTGCAAATTGAGGGGCAAAACTTGGAGTCATTTTGGAGCTTTCTCAGGGTGCCACTAGGGCCCGGGCTCCATGGCCCCATCCAGCCCCAAAAGCCAAGGAAGCTCCATTTCTCCACCAGTTAGTTACAATGGGTTGAAAAACTGTGGCCATGTGCTTTCCCTCCCCCTCTGCTGGGTTAGTCTCCACTTTCCTGAATATGTGGGAGCAGTGCCATGGGGTCAGTCTTGTATGCTGAGAGCCCCTTCTCCCCTCTGGTTGTCTCTCAGTGCGTGCCCTACAGCTCCCCCAACGCCCCATCCAAGGCCACGCTCAGCATCATTAAGGAGTATCCAGAGATAGAGCAAGTCATCTACCCCGAGGGGCAGCGTCCCCTGTACATGCTGCAGACCAACGACACCTACACGCAGGTGGTGGCCGACCGGGTCCTGGATGCCAGCAATGCCTCCCACACCGTCCTCTACCTCGGGACAGGTAGGTGAGGAGGGAGTAGGTCCCTTGGGGCCTTTGGGGAGCCACAGCAGTGGGAGAGGCCGTCTGTGTTTACAGTGGATGTAGATGGGCATAGATCACAGACAAGATTGTGAACCCAGCATCCTTCCTCCCAGCCCCTGTGCTCGAAATATGTTCTCCTGCCGCCCTTCAGAGCAGCGACAGAAGCCAGGAGTCCTGATTGACTTCCCTTCTCTAACTGCTAGCTCCTGCCCCCCAGTCAGAGACAGGTACAGGACCCGGGAGTCCAGCCATCAGGGTCCCTGCTCCCTCAAGCAGCAGGGACAAGGAAGGGCTGGGGCACATTATATGCCAGTCTTGGGGCAGACAGAGTCCACCACAAGTTACTCTGCTTCTCCCCATGCAGGAGACTTCCTCTGTCAGGCAGCCACATCCTTTCCTGGCCTGGGCAGGGGCATAGCTCGCTCTAGGGTGTTAATTTGACTCTAGTGCCCACCAAAGAGGGCTCCATGTCACCATGGTGTCACAGCTGGCTGGAGTGGGATGGCTTTTGGGGTCATTAGCAGGCACTTGTTACAAAGCCCATTGGTCCAGAGGGCCCTGAGCCGGCCTCTTTGCTGGAAGACTGAGGGCTGCCTGAACCATGGAGACAGTTGGGATAACAGGGCTACCAGGAGAGCTGTGGGTTGTGGATGCAGAAAAGTAAGCGGATGCTAGCCTGGAGTAGATAGCTAGCACCCACCACAGCTGTGCGTGTGTCCTGTGTTCTCCTGTCTTGCTTGGGGCAGGGTTGATAAGGGTAGGGATCCTACCTCTATCCCCATGGCACCGCTGAGGGCCAAGTCCTTGCAGAGCCCCTGATGACAGCACTGGGACCTGGATTTCATCCAGACTGCAGAGCAGCTCCTTCCTCACAACTCTCTGGGTCTTTTCCCAATGCAGATAAAGGGAAAATCCACAAAGTGCTGCAGGGCGAAGGGCAGACTGTCATCATTGCTGAGATGAGTCCCTTTCGAAGAGAAGCGCCCATCTCTGGCCTCATCCTGGATGCCTCCACAGTGAGCTCCTGCTCCCCTCCTCCTGTTACAGACATCAGACTGTCACACCAAAGGTCCCTCCACCCCAGTGTCCTCTCTCCTACCGTGGCAGTAGCACATGCTTTAAAGCAGACCTGTGGTTCTCAACCGGGGTGATACAAGATCCTTTTAAAAGGGTGCCATACAGCATGAGCACTGAGGTGTGCAAACACCTACATGCAATCCACAAAAGAAACCCAGAAATTTCCAGCGGCACCAACATCCTGGGGCTCACTGAGTTCTTTGCAGCAGCAGAATTGCTCTAAAATTATCCTACAGTTGAGAAATGAGTGAAAGCTGAGAGCTGGGATTTCCCAAGGGAGGCCAGCAATGGTTAAGAAGCGCTGGTCTTCATCCCCTTTTTGGGTCTGGTGGTACAAAAATGCAGCCTCCTGTTAGTTTTAAACCTGCCTCCTGTTCATAGCAACGGGGCCCCCTGGTTCTCAAATTCTGGGCCTAGGTGAATAACCCCGTTCCCTTTATCCACACCCTGCGTGATTTCATACACTTCTGTTATATCCCCCCTCAGCCTTTCCTTTCCGAATGTTTCACATGCGAATTTCTCCTGCGTCTTGTTGGAAACCTAATCCAGGGCCCGGCCCAGCTCCAGCTAGAGAAGTCAGAGAGGGTTTTGCCTGGTCCCAGTCACTCCCAATATATACCTTCCTTTTCCTTACCAGTTACTTTTAACCCTTGACTAACCCAGCCCCTTCTTGGCAGGGATACCTCTATGCCAGCACTGAGTTCGAGGTGACGCGCCTGCTGCTAGCAGACTGCGGGCAATACAGGGAGACCTGCTGGAAGTGTGTCCTCGCCCGGGACCCGTACTGCGGATGGGATCTGGAGAACAAGAGGTGTTCTGCTGTGTCCCAGGAGGCGAATGCCACGACCAGGTCTGATCCTGCTCAGAGATGTAGGGTGGCTCAGGGGTTGATTTTGACCAGCCGTTTCTGGGGATCTGGTCCTTTTCCAGCTGCAGCCTCTGTAGTAATAAAGCCCAGGTCTCTAGTGAGCCATGCAGAATAAGAAGCATCCTGTCTGGTTACCCTGGTAATAAAGAAGGGCAAGAATAATATTTGAAATTTATAGTTTCCCATCACAGAGGGTGAATGGGAATGATCCCTTCCCCCATGAAATGCAGCCACCTCTGGGCCGGAGCCGAACAGTTGCTACAGGATCAAAATCCTACGTCTGGCTGGAAGGGTATTGCAAATGCAGGCCTGGAGGGGAAGCTGCCAAGAGCGGGGGGGTGTATACAACCAGCTTGTAGCTTGGTGCTATCAGGAAGCTGGGGCCCAGGAGTGAGCTTCAGAGCAGGAGGCAGCCTGTAAGGTAAAGATCGTGCCTTCCCCTAGCTGAAATGCTGCCTGCTTTGGACTGTGAGTCCATCTCGTTGCTTCTACCTTCCTTTGCCCCTATTTTTTTGTCTCTCTAGCAGCTTCCTGCAGAGCCTGCATCCCGAGGCTGGGGACGTGTGTGAAGGTGTGGCAGGTAGGTCTGTGCGCCCTTCACTCACGGAGCCATATTTGAACCCATGTTTGCAAATCCCAGCCTTGCAGCCTAGGTGTCAGGAGAGGCGGGTGAGGGAAAGCCGAGGGGGAAACGTGGATGTGAAACAAAGCAGCCTCGTCTCTTGGGTCTGGCTAGGCCTGGGGTGGCCAACCCATGGCATGTGTACGGTAAGGGGTGTGGGCAGCTGCTATGTGGCAAGTGGTTTATATGGCAAGGAGCAGAGAGAACAGCAGCAGATAGGGAGGCAAGAGCAAACAGAGCAATTGATAGGGCAGGGAGGAGACAGCAGAGCAATGGATCGGGCAGCCAGAAAAGTGGCAGAAAGGACAGGGAAGAGAATGCAGAGCAATAGATTGGACAGTCTAGTGCTTCTGTAGCTGTGCCCAGCTGGCACTGTACTGATGGCATAGGGGGCACCTTCCTTGGTGTCCTAGTGGAGACAGGGTCTTAGGTCTCTGAGCAGGTAGGAAAGCATAACGTTGCCCCTTCCCAACTGTTCAGATCTGTGGGCCTTGCTTGAGACCTTCTGGCATGAAAACACTGCCACTAGCAAAGTGCTTGCCCCTCGCTGGAGCATGTGCCTCTAAAGCTTTAAAGGCTGAGAGAGGCACCAAGCACTCAGGGCAGGATGGCTCCACACATCCAGCGCTGCACCAGCCATTATAAAGATTTTCAGGAAATCCCAAACCAGGTGGGGGAGAAGGAAGCTGGGACTCTGCCCTGGGGCTGGCAGCGAGAAAATCACAGCAGTCATCGCAGCGTCTCCATGCTTCCTTTCCGGCCCAAAAAATCAGCTTCTCTAATGCACCCGTTTTAGAGGGCTGATTTTTAGGGGGAAATTGTACATGTAGTATGTGATTAAATATGATCTCTAACTCCCTGGCCTGGCATTGTGTAGCAAGAGGGCTGCCTGAGCCTGTGACTTATGGAGATCCCTGAATGGCTTCACTTGCCAAGGAAGGGCTGACTGTTCAAGGGTCACTTCCCTGAGGGGTTTCTTTAGCCATAAATTTGGGATCTGGTGTGTAAACCTGAGTGGGGTTGGGCTGGGTGTTAGGATTTGGCACCTCTAAACCTCCTCTCCCATTATGTCCACCTTCCTGTCCTCTGTCTTCCCTTTGCTTTTTGCCTCATCTACCTGGACACCAAATCAAACGCTTCCCCGCAAGACCAAGTGGCTCAAGAAGCCCTGAAGAAGGTGAGTGTTGACCCGACCAGCTACATCTACCTACCCTGCCCCCTGCGTTCCCACCACGCCATCTACACGTGGGTCAAGGATGGCGCCAAGCAGTACCCGTGTGACATGGACGGGCACTCGTGTACACTGCGCTTCGGGGAGAACGCCCCCATGGACCAGGGCGTGTTCAAGTGCACTGCCACGGAGGAGGGCTACAAGGAGGAGATCACTGTGTACAAACTCACACTCAACAGTGCCGCGGTCCCCCAGCTGCCTCTGATGATGCTGTTCCTCACCATTGCGATTCTCCTGTGCTAGACTCTGCCATTCGAGTAGATCTCATTACACTGCCAATGTCTTTCTTTTTCCACCCTCCACAACCCTTCCCCTATGAATCCTCCCTTCTCCCTTGGAGGATTCTTCCTTTAACACATCCTGAAAGAAATGTGAGATGGTCCAGGAGCAAAGTGCCAGGGGGCTCATCACTGATCTTGAATTTGGACATCCGGGTGGAAGACACGGCCATCTGGTTTTGGCAGCGGTAGAAAATGATACGTGAGCTTCCTTCCCAAAGTAGATAACACAGCGAAGCTGAGCAGAGCAAAGCCGATGGTGGTGAGGATGGTGGGGAGCTTGAGAAACCACGAGGGCAAATCTACCTTGTGCCACTATTCTGCAGATGGAGGGCAAGTCCTTGTGTCCAGCACCAGGCTTAATGTCATGCTGATCCATGAAGGGTCTCCAGGAGTTTAGCCATTGGTCTAGAGTTTGGATGTTGGTCTAGACGTTGGGTGAGCTAGAGGGGCTGTTGATTTGAACTCTCTGTCTCTCTAGCGCTTCTCTAAGGAACAGCCCTCTGGGAGAAGGACTGCGTGTGACTGGGTCTTTTCTACTCTGATTTCTAGGAGTTTGGTGCTTTTGCTGTCAGGTTCTTTCACATGGAGAAGTCGACCGGTGCCACAAGTCTGAGGCTTCCCATCCAGGTCCAAGTCATCACATGAACCGTTCTCTTCAAGGTCATTTAATGGGTTATTTTGTATGTGATGCCACTCTGATTGCCAGTTCTGCTTTGGTTTGCTCAGGGTTGCATCCGGGTTTCTGAAGGGACGAGAAAGCAGAGAAATCCAGAAGTCTGTGCCCTCCTCTCGCTTGCGCTGGGGTAAACCCAGAATCATGCTGTCAGCTTTCAATAGCATTTACACTGGGATAAGCAAGCACGCTCTAGTCCCGGTGTTTATAGGTGCTGATGATGGATTTCCTCAAGTGTACGATGAGACTAGGCCCCAGGGTGTTTCTACCTGCTCTGCCAGGCCATAGCAGGGGTGTCCCATTCCCCTCGACAAAGCAGAACTGGTTTAAACTGGGGGCAGGCAGAGACCTCAGCACAAAGAACTGGTGAGATGCATAGGTGATACCAAGGCTCAGCTCAGTAAGACGGGATCAAATCCACTGTGGGCCACTAAGCACAGATGGGAAGGATGAGGAAGAGCTTTTGGGTGGACTGGAGAGAAAGGTGAATGAAGGTGGGGAGGGAGAGATCGTGATCTGGAGTCTGCCAGTATAAACCTGTGCTAAAGCCATGGCATTAACTGGAGTGGGGGCTGGGGAAGTCAAAGGCAGCTGGACACGATGCCAACCGCATCGCTCCCTGGCTTGCTGTTGACTACAGACATAAGCCACACCAGCCACTAGGCTTGGCCTGGAATGAGCTTAGACACACAGGGATGCATCATAGATCAGAGTCTGACCTGGAGACTCAAGAGTCGGGTTAATCTGGCTCTTTCCACCTGCTCGGCCAGCTCTGCGCTGTCAGCCATTGTGGCAGTAATATACACAGAGCTCATTATGCCACCTCTCAGCTTTCTGTGTCCAGCTGCCCAAGCTCTAAAGCAGGTAACTTGGAGGGAAAGAAAAGTCAAAGGTAATTCTGACTTGGAAACTCCAGTCCCCATTTCAGCACCTGCTTTGCTCAGCTGAGTGCTGCAGACCCCTGCTTGGTTTCTTCCTATCGGCCAAAAATCCAGCGCCACCTCCTGATTGTCAGAAAAAGATGTTTTTTAAAAAAAATATTTGTGTCCTTTTTGTATGAAATTTTTTTTTTTGCAAAATATAATAATAATAATGGCTGGAAAAAACCATCCCACCACGCTCCAACTGGCTGTTGTCAGCTGCATGAATGTAACTAAGGGACCACATTGCTTGCAAAAAATGCCCCCAAGAACCCAGGACTTTAGTATAGCACTTGCTGATTTATCTTTCTCGGTGCTGACTGTATTGGGGGTTGGTAGAGAGGGGTTATGGTCTACTGAGCCATGGAGTGAGACTCAAGAAGTCCTAACAGTAATTCCTGCTCAGTCAGCATCAGATTCCCCATGCTGTGCCTCAGTTTCCCCATGTAATGCAGGAATAATGCTCCCACCCTGCCAGGGGTATTGTGACCCTGAAGGAGATGAGGTTTGAAAAGAATAATTGAGGGCCAGAGGGTCAGTTTATCAGGAAGTCCCACAACGGTGGGCCCCTGCAGCCAGCACTGTCCCTGGATGATCTCACCGGCTGTTTTAGATCTAGCGTGGGAGACAGAGATGTGTGGGTGAGGCATAAGAATAGCTGCCAGCTGCTTTTCTCCGTGCATGGGGGACTAGGGCATTGGTGCCAAGACCCACTCTGGGGATCCGTAAGCAGGCAGAGCTGATCTTCTCGATGGTTCGTTTCTTCTCCAGCACCGCTACTGCTCTCTCCTCCCCACATGTGCTTTGGGAGGGGAGGGGGGCAGCGAGATCAGTGGGGCAGTGCTCAGGAGGTTGTCACCGTGCCTGACATGCAGATACCGTGCCTAAGTGTGGGTGTGTTTTCTCCAGTCGTTTCCTCCCCAGGGAAGGAACCGGAGCTCTTTCTGCAGCTGGGTCAAAGCCAACTTCAAGGCAGTATGCATGCAAGGAAGCTCTCAGACGAAGCCTGGTGCTAAGAATTAGGCTGTAATTTTAAAAGAAAGACATGAAGGGGTTGTTGTAAGCCATGAGGAGCCCTGCTCGGAGGTCCCTGCTTGCAAAGGGAGATTGGAGGTTTCTTACGAGCCTGTCACTTCTTCCAAGGGTGATCTTGAAACCCCCTTCCAGCAAGGTAATGTTGCATATCTGGAAAGCAATTCTCTGCTTCCCTCTCTGGAGGGAAGACCCTGGTCCTGGGGATGTCAGAGGGTCTGCAGGGCTGACAGTGTGTCTGAAAGCAACACAATTTCTCTTGAAGCAGTGGGGTGAGAGCAGTCTAGCTCTGCAACAAGGATGCAGCACGGCTTCTCAATAAAACCAGGCCTGCCTCTGCCTTTCACTCGCTATGTAATCTTGCTGCACGGCTCTGTGCCTCAGTTTGCCCATCTGTACAACACAGCAGCTCAGTATTCATTTGTAGAGCATCACTGTTGAGAAGTCCAGGAGGGCCGGGGTCTCAGTTGCCGTGGCTCCAGGAAGCAGGGGCTAGACTGGTGAGAAGGATCCAAGTGAGACTGTGATCACAGGTGGTTCACCGTGTTAGTCTGAAGTCAGGCAGGGTAGATTTGCACCTTATAGACTAACTGAATTAGATATATAATATAGATAGCATAAGCTCTCATTAGTCCAAGCTCACTTCATGAGATGAAGTTATCTCTGAATTAGTCAGCCCGTAAGGTGGAAATCTACCTTCTGACTCAATATGACGCTCATCGTTGAGTCTCCAGATCCTGGTTCTTCTACCCAGCCCCCTTCACTTAGTGCAGTGAAGAGGTTGGGCTTCCAGTTTCACTCTTTCTCCTTCCTAAAGAGCCGGACCTAAAACTGACTCCATTTAACAGACGCCTGCCATAAGGTTGAGGGATCTGGTCCAAGAGTTGGAAACCCAGTGTCACTAACATGGAGGCAGCTGCTGTTTTACTGAAGACTGCAGTCATGCGATGACATGAGAATAATCTCAGCTTCTTCCTTTCTTTATAAACTCAGTTCTTCACCTTTGTGGTTGCAGAGAAAATCTACACACATGACCACTAGAAGCGCAAACCCCAGAAGACAAATGCAAAAAACCACAACTTCCCTCCTTAAAAAAGCAAATCAAACCTTGTGATGTTTTTTTTTAGTCAATCTAATGATTATTTTTAGGGGCCTGGCTCATGACTCCCGAAGTTTTGGGGTCAGCAGCCCTGTCAGCCCCATGTCTGCGTCTGGGGAGAGCGCTGTACATTTTATATTCCCTGTCTGACAGTATAATGCTTCTGTCGCTAGAGGAATGCAGAGAGCTACCAGGAATTGCCTTGTCTTTCCCTTAGCAACCAACCCCAAGCTGCTCTTCTTTCTTGGAAGAACAGAACTGACTGTTCTGCTGCCGTTCATGGTATATATCCTGCTTTGCTGTAGAGAGCTGACTATATCCGTGTGTGCTTTTCCCTTTTGTAACGTGATTTCCCCACCCCCTCCCTTCCCCCAAACCCTTTTCTGCTCTCTTCTGAATCAAAGGAAAGTGTAATGTGTGCTGGAGAATGGAATAAACATAAATGATAACCACGCCGGGTGTCTGCCTCTGCAATGATACAGCCCTGTGGCATCTACCAGTCTTGTCGTCATCACGGGAGGAAGATGGTGCTGGCATAGTAACATGCTTTCAGTCATGCTGGCTCTGTCCGTGTTTGTCAGCTGTCATGAGCTAAGACAGGCCAGGAGTGGATTATCCTTGGATGGCTGATTTCCAAGGAAGCCAGGTGTCCTAGCATAGTGGCAGGGGATCCCAGGGTTTCCAGTGAGGCACAAAGCCATGGCACTTCATCAAGATTAAAGGGCATTTAGCCACTCTCCTGGCTAAACAAATACCCGAGCCATTCTTTTCCTTCTGTTCCAGCTGCAGCTGCTGTGTGCTGTGATACCACGTTTGGCAGCACCAGTGGTTTTGTTTCAGCAGTGGCAGGAGCGACATGTGACTTATGTGTGGCCTGCATAAAATACAAAGCATCGGGGCAGTGCAGCGGATCCAGATGCACAGAAACAAGTCGTGGATTTGCATCACAGGCCCAGCTCTACTGGGGTTGGGCAAAGGTGGGTGGCTCAGATGCTTCCTGAATTGCCCGCACCAGTCTCACCTTGGCATGAGCTGACCATGGCCAGCATGAATGCTTCTGCAGCTCCTGCCAGCTGGAGATCCTCCCCTCTAGCTTTCCTTGCTGATCTCCCAACCTGCTCCAAGTCCCAGGAGAGCAATAACATCTACCCATCTGGAACAGGCTCCTTGGACCTCTCTGCCCCAACTCCCTCCCAAAATACTGCCCAGCGAACCCTTGGAAACCAGATGCCCCTTTA